CATCCTTCTATTTCACCCACTGACCACACACTCAATCATGCAAACCAAGATCCAATACCTTGACCCAATAGTCTCTATCAAGTCCCACCTGCATTACCATATACACACAGCCCTCACCCACAGGTCCCACCCAAACTATACCATGGAGCGGGCCTCCCCATGGGTCCCACCCATCTAGAGCTACACAGGCCCGAATCCGCCTTAGACCCCAATGGCCATCAACCTAAAACAAATAAATGCACTCTGACACTCTTGTACGTCTTATCCAAGCCACAAACTAATCCTCCTTTATACTCATGACCACCTCAACAATAGGCTATCTCAAACTGGTGAAGGCTACGATCTCATCTCAGTTTTACAATACTTCTAACCAACCATGGTATTACCTTATTCGAACCATCTCAACCCAAATTATCCTAAGTCGAACCCATATCCTACTGAATTCCAATCAGGTGTTCGCGTCATGCTTCGAACCCTAAAGCCTTCATCAAACGAGAATAGGCAGCGAGGCTCTAACACAACCCTCAACCTGAATCCATCCACAAGCTTGCTATAAAGAATACGCTGACCAGCTATTGGAAGCTTCCTGAACTCCCAACTTACACAACTTCAATCTTGACAGCCACTAGGGTCGTCTCTCTTACTGAATGGGATGCGAAACTTACCCTAGTTTCACACCCAATCCAACTCCCAGAATCATGAACGATTCTCTCTCCCCCCCCCCCCAACCCCTACTTGGATTCGTCGAAGCTCTCTTATCCCATCAGACTTGATGGATTCCCAAGCCACCTTATCTTCATATACATGGACCGACTATGACATGCACTTAACAGTACTAGTGTTCCATTAATAGTCAAACTCAATGACCGCACAACTCTTGAAATCCATATGAACACTCCTCGAAATCGCAACAAGTCTGACAACACCAATCACTTCCCATGATACAACACCCAAATCCTTAAGTCCTTTATGCTGATGACAAAGACCACAACCCTTGCGATAAATAACTTCCCGTGGCACTTCTAGTGACTAACCAAACTCATGCGACTGACACCACCATCTTCTTGCTACTGCTCCTTCCTTAGCCACGGTAGTGATTGAACCCGAAGGTTCTTCCATAGATGACCACCTATCCCACCTAATCAAATGATAACACAACTAAAATCTAACTTCCTCAGAGAACTATCCCTCTAATCCGACCACAGACTTTCCGATCGATATCCCTGAATTGACCCATCAAAGAACCGGAACATAACGAAACAAACAGAAACCCGATCAGCAAGATACAACCCACTAACGACTCTTGGCATGCATAATAGCATATAGAAATTCTTGATTATATGACCCAAACAATAGCAGAGAACCAAACCAGAGTTAATGCCTACCTAAACCAAAGCAAAATTCCAAAGAAATATAAATTCTGATAATAACCAAGAAGAAAGCAAAAGATTACATACCCACAATAGTACCTGATGGAACTTTGGTCTTCCCTGAATAACATTACAATACTCGGCTCCTCCCAGTTGGGGCTCCTACCCTATCCTCATGACCATCAGAGATCCTCAAAGAAACCAGAGCAAGTTCACTCACTGCTCCATCCGTCAACATCGGACAGTCAGCCTTCTTGTGGCGCACTTGATTGCAGCGAAAACATAACAGGCTTTCCCCGAAGGACAATCCTGACTGACGTAGCCAACCCTTCCACACTTGTTGCAGCCCATGCCCCTAAACGACAAACCCCATAGTGCTGCTTCTCGTACGTTTTGCACTAACCCCGACCCTTCTGGCCCCTCAATCGCTGATCTGAAGTCTTGGATCTCTTCGTAAGACTCTCAACTGTCCGCACATGCTCTGGTTCTCTCTCCCCCAAGTGATCCATATCAATCTCCTGCTCTTGGGTTACCTCGACCATCCCATCATCTGTCTGAATAGCTAAGGTCCGACCCCTAAACTCGACGAACAATCAATCAGTGACACACCCAATGATGTCGTGGTAACTCATCGCGTGTGGCTAGCGCAACCTCCGTGGCAATCCATTCATGGGATTGACCCTACTTAAAACATGGTGCATAACCCACATCTGATCCCAAATGACAAGAACTAGCAATATGATCCACCTTCCTGAAGGATTCAAAGGATCCTTATGAGACAAAGAATCGAGTATTGATTGAATTAGAATGTAAATTCAAAGTATGATTGAAAGATTTGAACACCGATGTAAATATGATCTGTTTGGCTCTATTACGCTTTTTTAGTTTTACAGAGTACAAGTGAAATTTCTATAAAGACTTCGTTACTAAGACACTAGTAACTACGCCTATTTATAGGAGATGAAAGCATACAAAAAATATACTAAGGACTAAACATGATGCTTCGAATATTATTCCCTAGTAAAATACACTACAAAAATGTTCAAAGATACTAAAGACAGACTTCGACTCATTACAACATTTCGACTCTTACAATCTCCCCCTTTGTAATCAAAGTCGAAGTCTTCAGTTTGTGAGAAGTGTAATGGAGTATAGCAAAGCTCTTCGAACCTCAGTATACCAAGAAATAATTTTCTTCAACTCCTTCATTGTTCTTCTTGCAGTGGTTCATAAGAACAATCAAGTTCGTATATTAAGATGTAGATATCTCTCCACTTCGATAGCTTGGAATAAAAACCGCTTCGCTTTTCCAGCTTTATCCTTTCCAGCAAAAACTATCCCAAATGGCTTAAGACAAATTTCTCCATCAGCATATTTCTTTAACTCAGCCTGTGTCTTCGAACGAGCCATTGGGGCATTTATCTCCATTCCCTTGGCAGTTGTCAACTCCACATCATTTAGAGCTAGCCACTCATAGTAATTCTCAATGAAGATCTTGATGTGAGAAACTCCAAGTTTAAATTCGTCTGGATTTGTGTTTTGAAGAAAAGAAAAAGATTTGTCTTTCAAAAGCAATGTCACTTGTATAAGGTCATACAAGTTCATCATAGGAAAATCTGCAATCGTGAATTCGCATATTTTTCCATTCGCCCTAGAAACCACATACTTGATATTTTGGACTGTGTTTTCAAAAACCACATCTTTTTTCATACTTATCACCTTCTTGATCTTGATCAGTGACTAAAATCCTCATGAGCTTTGCCAAGTACTGCATGAAAATGAATTTTCATATGAGTCCCATCATCTTTTTCTTTGAAATTCCCTTCAGCTTTGAATTGAGGCATGATAACATCATCTCGTTTATAGGGAAATCCAACTGGCAAACATCAGAATTTGTGATCACATAACTTTGCTTAGGCTTCTTTTCGAATGTATACATGTGGTTGAAAGCAACCTTGGCTTCGACTGTTTCATAGTTATCGTGTTTTGCTGGATCACCTTTATCCATCCCCTTCGGATCATTAGCCCTCTAAGCCATTATACTTTGAACGATTCTAAGCATTTCAATCTCATCTTTAGCCTCATCCTTCTTTTCTTCTTTAGATTTTTCTACAAGAATTGATTTTCCTTTGTTTGTCGAAGCAGAATTTTTAGTTACCTCTTTTGGCTTCGAACTACTTCCTCTAGATTCCAAAGGTTTACCAATTACAATTCCTTTCGAAATTGTTATTGTGATTGGCAATGTTGTTACGATTGTTGAGGTCACTGGTTCATCATACACTATCACTGGTTTAGTAGAAGGGATGTTTGAAGAGAATACCTTGCCCACCACTTTCGCTTCTTCTTCTACTGACTTCCTTTCTCCCCCTTGCACCCATGTGAAAACAGGAGGGGAAGTAGTTGAGGGAAGAAGACTGGATAAGCGAAATAGTGGAGCAAGTTGCTTGTTAAGTATGGCTTCGAACTGCACAAACTTCTGGGATAAAAATTCTGGAGTAAACAACGGGGAGGAAACCGGTTTCGTTGAGATCTCCTTCAATTCCTTTAGCAACTTTATCACACCTTCAAAATTTTCACTTGCGGATTTGGAGATTTGATTTATTTGAGGACTCAAATCTTCATATAGTTTGACAAAACAAGTTACAACATCACAAATGATATCGACCTTCTGATGCAAGGACACATAATCATATTGAACATAAACAATTTCCTTTTTCATATCTTCACGAAGTTCATGAATTTGTGAGTTAACGTCCTCCTTCACCTTCTTCACCTCCTGAACAAAAAGAACATGACGTTCTTTTGTTGTGCTTTTCAGATTCTTAACTTCTCCTATAAAATCTGATCTGAGAGTTTTAACACGAAGCTCAGAATTCTGATCTGTGTAATCAACCTTCTCTAAAATAGCAGACTCTGCGGCTTTCAACATTCCAGAAACTTTGGTGATTACTCTTGATTCCAACATCTTGAGCATGGAATCAACCTCCAAACTTGAAATAGATGAACTTCCTCCAAGATCAGCTTGGGATTGAATGATTGAGTTCAACTTTTGATTAAGAATTTTGTATTGCTTCATTGTCATCAACATGTGATCAGGAAATTCTTCTTCATCTTCATTAAATTCTAGATTTTCGAACGTACCGCCAAACCCTTCATTATCAGTTTCAGTTGGTGAAGATGGTTTGGGTGTATCAGTGGATTGAGAAGGAAAAATGGAAGTGAATGGTTGATTGAGGATATGTTCAAAGGTTGGCAAAACAGTGGTTGATGTGAGAGGAATTATTGATGTAGGTGTAACAATAACAAATGATTCGAAAGTAGTAAAGATAATTGGACCTTGATCTGCATCTTTCGAACCTCCTTCACCCATGTTGACATTTGCATCCATATCAGATACGTGTGCAGGGATGTCTGAAGTTCGAACCTCCTCAAAAATTGACTTGGCAATCGAAACTTCGGGTGTTTTGATAACATTCTTCTCAGGAATGGAACTTGTAACGACAGGAGTGAACTTTGGAGTTTCTGGTATTCGTTAATATTCTTATGTAGACTCAGTAGATAAAACAAGCTTTCGAGTCTTCTTCGTCTTCTTCTTCTTCGGTTGGGACAAGTGTTTTGCCATATCTTCTGCTACTCGTTTCTTGGACCGGGAGAAACAGGAACAGGTACATCACGAATTAAAACTCCTTGGTGAGTAATTTGAGGTTTGCAAACCAGCTTTTGTAATAATGAATTTCGTTTGTGAGTAGATTTCATCTTGATTCTTCGAAACATCCCAGTTTTCGAAGGAATAATAACATTCTCTTGAGTCTCTTCCACAAATGGCTCAATCACATGTGTTTCATCAATTGTCACTTCAACATTTTTAGTCTGCTTCTTTGGAGATTTAGAGGATTTCGAACCATTTTTCTTTTGTTCAGGTGAAGCAGGAGCAACCTTCTTTAACTTTTTTGACTTCTTCGCTTCCCGTGGCAACAAAATTCCCGTTGGAATAGATGAATCGAATGTTTTCAGGTAGGCAACCAAAATAGGATTGTTAGGATCCACCCTTTTAAGCATCGCATCTGGAATCTGAGCAACATGTTGAAATTCATCGGCATCGTCAACAACCTCCTTCGAAAATTGATAAGCTTGAAAAGTAACCTTCTCTTCTTCATTTAAAACCAAGATGCCTTCCTTATTGTAAAAATGTGGTAGAATAAGGCTCCAATACCGAGCACACGAAATGCCATGAATAGCATTCGTATGTTCTACACCTTCTTGGAATTCCTTCCATAATTGTGTAGAGTAATGTGCTGGAAGATCATAGTATAATCCTGCCACCATGGCGTAAACCTCCATCCTTTCTTTGTCTAACCCAACTGTTCTTCCAGTTAAACAACACAGAAATATCCCAAACAAGAAATTCCATACTTTTGGAAGTCTAGACTTCTTAAAATCACTTATTTTTTTTACAATGGGGGCTTATGTCCTATTTCATTAAACATATGAATAATTTGTGGAAATTGAAATTCAGCAAAAGGAGGGGTATTCAGAATATCAAGAATCTGGCAAAATAGTTTCTTGGAAAGCCTAAGCTTTTTGTCATTGATCAGGTGAAAAGTAATCGAATCAGAGGCTTTGTTATACGTGGCAGTAGATCCTGCTTGAGAAAGCCAGGATATCGTAACAGAAAAGGAATTGAACATTGCTTTGGATAAAACAGAGTGTTTTAAAGCAACAATAAGCATCTTGAATTCCTCTGGACATTGAGAAATTTCACCATTGACATAATAATTGGTAGATTGAATCGTCTTAACTGGAACAGAGGATATATCTTCAATTGAAGGATCAACGTGAGCAGCAATTTCCGTTGTTAGGGTTTGAAGAAGATGAATAAAAGAGAATTTGGGAATTTTTGAGTTTGATCGTGTAACCGTATAAAGTACTCTTGAACCCCCTTTTATAAGTAACCCTGAATGATTTGAATTTGAAGCGGGATGCATTTAATGATATCCGATGTGGCACCTTGAAAATCGGACCATTACTGCGGAAAGATAGCCATGCGTCAAAAAGTAGTTGTCATTTCACCTATAAAACCGGACAGAATACCATACGTCAAGGATAAACAGCCTGTAATTATCCCCTCAAGAGAATTGTAAGCGTCAGAATCCTTCGAATGGAAGCAAGGCTCTTTCACTTTTGGGATTAAAAGCGAAGTCAAATGCCAGATGTTCGAAATCATCAGCCTGAGTTGGTATTACTCAGAACCTCAAGGATTTTGTGTGTGCAGTGTTCCAAAGAAAGTTAGACAAGAAACAATTATAATTTTTTTTGGAATGTAGTGATGTCAAAAATACAATTTGACACAAAGGCAGTTAAACCTCAGGCAAAGGTCACTTCGTTAATCATCAAGAAAGATGATCAACAGCTTGTGTATGTTCCCGTGAAGTACAATCGAATAATTTTTAATAAGTATCAAAGGGCTTCTTTTGAGAATGCTTCGTTGGTAGGTTCAAAATTTCGTTACATGTCAACCTAAACATAAGGTGATAAAGTGTAACAGAAATTACTTGTTTGACCAATGTAGTTAGTGACAAGTTGGCTTTGAAAATTTTTAACATATCTGGGACATTCGAATGAAACTCACACTGAAATCATATTCATGAAAAAAATTTGTGTATTGGATCTTGTTGGGTAACAAACATCGTGGGTTTCGAATGTTTCATCAAGACCACTCATTCGAAATGAATATGATTTGGAGTTTCGAACCTTGGTACAAAAACAAAAGTTTCCTATATATCTGGAACAATGTTCCCCGTCAATTCCTTAATTTTCAAGATGTTTGGGTTTCACTTTCATCACGGACTCATGATGTCAGATCATAAACACAGTGTTGTTATATATCTAAGTCTCGATGGGTTTGATCATAGACCTCTCAGACATACGTCTTTGTGTGTGACTGTGTAAGAATATTATGGATGAAAAAGATTGGTTTAAGACACGAAAAGTACCTCTGTTATGTATTGGACCAAACAGAAAACTCTTTACTCAGTTTGAGAAGAGTAAGGTAGCTCAGAGACTAATGTGAATATAAGCCTGATTCGGAAAAAAATTTCGTATGAAAAATTACATTAAGGCTTTCGTATACACAAATTTAGTCATTGAGGCTTTGGACAACATGCAGCAGCATGCTTCTAGGGACATCCTAACTAGTTCGAATAATGAGAAACATATCGATTCATACGATTTTTTTTACCTAACCCTTATACTGCTTGCATTGTCCCCTCTGAACCATCATCATAATCTGCAATAAAATTCTAAAAAGAAGTAAAAATACTTTTGTTGTTTTCGAATTTTTCGAAAATAAAGACATAACAAAATAAAATCTTTTTGGATTTTTGATTTTTCGAAACTATAAAAAAACAAAACAAAACCAAACAAAATCTTTTGGATTTTTGATTTTTCGAAAAATTAAAGGACAAAACAAAATAAAATATTTTTGGATTTTTTATTTTTCGAAAATATAAAAAACAAAACAAAAGAAAATCTTTTTGGATTTTTGAGTTTTCGAAAAATTAACAAGAAAACTGAATTTGTTGCAAACAGACGAATGTTTGACATTCCTTTAAGAGTGATAAATATACGAATTCGAAGCATTCTAAGCGTTGACTATGAACAGTAACCACTAACTCAATGCTGAAAATAAGTATCAAACATGCGAATTCGAAGCGTTGACCATGAACAGTAGCTGCTGAATACTGAATGACTTTGTTTTATGTTTTATACAACCCTCTTATTCATTCTTTGTCACCTATCATTCTTCTTTTTCGCATGGAACAAAATTTCCATCGATCATTCCAAGCCCTTCTATTATTCTCACAAATGACTTTTCATCCAAAGGTTTCGTGAAAATATCAGCTAACTGATCAGTTGTTTTCACAAAATTTACTTCAATGTTCCCATCCTCCACGTGATCTTTAATAAAATGATAACGAAGAGCGATGTGCTTAGTCTTCGAATGCTGCACAGGATTATGACTATTTTTTATTACACTTTGAGAATCACAATATAATGGAATCTTTTTCATATTAATAGCATAATCATGTAATTGACTTTGGATTCATATTATTTGCGAAGTGCAAGCAGCAGTAGCCACATATTCTGCTTCAGCTATGGAAATTGACACACACGTCTGCTCTTTCGACTGCCAACTGACTAATTTGCCATCAAGAAATTGACATCCTCCACTTGTGCTTTTTCGATCAATATTGCAGCCACCCAAGTCTACATCTGAGTATGCTTGAACAAAGAATCCAGTTTTCGAAGGATACCACAATCCTAACGAAATTGTTCCTTTAAGATAACGAAAAATATTCTTTACAGCAGTTAGATGTGGTTCGCGTGGATTAGACTGATACCTTGCACAATTACACATAGAAAACATGATATCAGGTCTACTTGTTGTAAGATAAAGTAAGGAACCAATCATGCTCATGTACAATGTTATATCAATAGCAGGTTTGTCTAACGATGGTGTTAGCTTTATGCCCGTTGCCATTGGTACACGAAGCTTCATGCTATTTGTCAATCCAAAATTTTTTAGCATATTTTTCGTATATTTTTCCTAATTAATGAAAATCCCTTCTCTGTTTTGACAAATATTCAAGCCAAGAAAATTATTGATTTTTCCCATCATGCTCATTTCAAACTTGTTTTTCATCAAATCTTCGAATTCTCTAGACAAAGCAGGGTCAGTCGAGCCAAAAATAATACCATCAACATAAATTTGAACAAGCCTAAGATGATTCCCCACTTTCTTTCGAAATGAAGTGGGATCAACAGATCCTTGTTTAAATTTAGATTGTTTCAAAAATGATGTAAGAGTTGCATACCATGCTCGTGGTGCTTGTTTCAGACCATAAACCGCCTTATCTAAAACATAAACATGATTAGGATATTCTTCGTTAATAAAACCTGGAGGTTGTTCCACATAATAGTTTCTTCAAGCTCTCCATTTAAAAATTCACACGTAAATAAACCCACGTAAATCTGGAAAATAAACCCACGTAAATCTGGAAAAATCATGATTTGTGCAACTTCATATTTGAGCCTGAGAAAATAAACCCACGTAAATCTGGAAAAATCGTCAACAATAACTAAAATGTACCGTTTATTGTTGAGAGTTGAAACAGTCGAAGGACCACACAAATCAATATGTGACAACTCCATAGGTGCAACAATTTTCGAATCAATTGTGATTGGATGACCTTGTTTATGTTGCTTGCCAACTTCACAAGCTGCACATAAAGAATCATTGTCAAATTTAAGTATAGGTAAACCTCTTACCAGATATTGTACCACAAGTTTATTGATGTTTCGAAAGTTGAGATGGGTAAGTCTTCGATGCCATAACCAGCTTAAATCAGATGTAGCTTTCGAAAGAAGACATACTGCTGGTTTGCCTACAATTGGATTGATGTCCAGAGTGAACATGTCACCTTTTCTTTTAGATTTCAGTAATATTTCTTTTGTGTTAACATTCGAAATAACACTTCCTTCTTCGTTAAAGAGAACTTGATTGCCAGTGTCCACCACAAGTTAAGAAACACTAATTGCATATGTTGAAGACCTTCAACATATGCAACACGATTCACTGTGAATTGTCCATTTGTGATCTTCCCATATCCCTTGACTTGACACTTCTGATTTTTCCCAAACTTTACTACTCCAACATTTTTTAGACTTCGAAAATCTCTTAAATTCTCCTACTTCCCAGTCATGTGACGAGAGCAACCACTATCAATGTACCACTTGTTATCATATTGCTCGTCACATAATACCTGCAATCAATTGAAAATTTTAGGTACCCAAGGCTTTTTGGGTCCTTGGAAATTAGATTTCAATTTCGAATGAAATGAAGAACTTTTAACCTAATCACAAACTTTGGTTTTTAGACTATCAATTAAGTTTACTTCATCATTTAAAGGAACTGAAACATAAGTGTTTGATAGTTTCGAATGTTCTCTAACATTACCCTTCGCTTTTTCTTTTCCTTCAAGCCAATGATCAATGTTCTT